CTTCCGCTACTTTCCCTCGCAATTTTGCGATCTCGTTTGATAAAACGGCAGATGTTTATTCGACGACGGATCGACTACGCGACGATCTGGTAAATATCTGGTAAATACGCGATGCATTTAATCGGTGCGCGCGTGCGAGCCTTCCAAAAAGTTTCTTCCCCCTCGATGTTGATCCTGTTACCAGAGAGCTAGAGGATTAAGCACGATACACGGACGATTGCCTTACACGATCACCAAGTAACTTTCACGTTATCGTCTCATCCACTGGCCGTTTATCCTGTGCAGCTCAGCGCCGGTCGGCCAAAGAAGAACCGACCGGAGTGCGCCAAGGCGAGAAAGCTATCGAGTTACGGAAACTCCCGAGTGTGAAGGAAACTCTTTAATGTTTTCGCCACGTTCTCTCGTCCTTTCCTGCTGTCGGGAATTTATTTAATCGACGCAATAGCGAAATGCACGTCTAACGAATTCCGCGAATGCGTCTTCATGTTTTACACAACGCTTTAAATAGAAATCCGCAGTCCGATCGTTAGATGAATATTGAAATCTCTGCGATCAGCTTAGTCGTTAGATTCACTCTTGCGATTCCTTTCCTTCTCCTTGGTGTTTAATCGAGCGAAGAGGATGGGAAGCTATTTGTTGGAGGTTTTAATATCGTCCAAAGATACATAATATTGAAACATATATATATATATATCTTACTTTTCGCGGAGATATTTTTCTTCAAGGATATTATTTTTCTTCTATTTTCGAGTAAATGACAGAAATGATTGTTACAATTTTCATTTTGAGATGACCTCACTTTGTAGGTTTACGCAAAGACGTATTATAGGATATATCTGCGTAATATTGAACACGTAATATTAAATAAAGCCAACAAAATACTGATCGTCTGAAAACTTGGCGGCAGTTACGAGTTATCGGATTACGAGATTCAATCCGATATACAGGAAATCATCTCGAACGATCACCGGTGGATCTTAACCGCGCCACTGGCTTTATCTCTGCTTTTTTATATTGATAGAATTATGAAATGAAAAGGAAAAAAATAAGAATATATATTCATATATACCTAAGAAGACAAAAATTTGCGTTATAGAGATATCCTATTTATATAAGGAGAAGAGAGAGAGAGAGAGAGAGAAAGAGAGAGCAGCCAAGCGCGATAACTTCACAAATGCGAAAGAGATTCTATGATATCACGACGTGTATCTCGTGGCAACGAGAAACTATGCGAAACACTCTTCCATCTGCTTTATGTAACATGTAACTATGCGAAGAGCGCGACGAAGAGACGCGTCTGTGATTCGATCCTCGAATAACGTTTAACACTGGTGGTATACCGTTTGCCGTCAATATTATACTTTTGCACGGGAAATTTTCCAAGAGCTGGAAAACTGCTCGTCAAAATTAATTAGCGGATTCCGCATGTGTGCGACGTTGCCTGAAAAAAAGCTATTAAAAAGTCCTTACATCTAGGCAGCGCGGCCATCTTCTTTTTCCAAACAGAGCTATTTATATAGCGGTCCCCATTACCGCTGGAGATTAAAGAGCGCGAAGGCGCAATGGACAGACTGAAAAATGTAGGAATCTCTCAAGTAGAAACGGGATTACTCACGTTTAAAATTCCCCGACGGACAAAATCGCCGCCGCTTCGATCCTTCCAGAATTACAAGACCACCGGTTTTATTTGGACAAGTGCAAGAGAGAGAACTGTAAGAGGGCAGGGTAGATAGAAAGACCGCAAAAGTCTATCAAGTAACCAAGCGGAAGGTGACCTATTTGGAATTCGCCGGTGGTCGAAATGATCGCTTTGGATACTTGTGTCTTAAAAAGAATAACCGCGGAAGTTATTGCTTAAAAGAAAAATAATGCAAGATTGAAAAAAAATGTAAGAATCATTTATTATTTTATTGTTTCGTTTATACACACGCACATACGCTATTATTTTTATTTTTATCATATCTTAGGCTTAGGCTTCAAACATTATGCTGATGCCTCACCTTTAAAAGTGCACTTTCCTCTACTTTGTTGTTATTATTATTATTTATTATATTTGTTTAAAATTAGTTGACGTTCAAAAATGCTACAGTTTAAATTTTTGCAATTTCAAGAAAACTCAGAGATATTCGCATAAAGTTATAACGGTTGAGAGGTGGAATAAGGGCAGAATATATATAGGTGAAAGGATAAAATAATGTGTAAGTCAATCGAGAGAGTAAATTCGGGATTTTACGGCAACCGAGAATTCGAGCGAGCAGTGGAAATGACCGTTCGCTCTCGCTCGTCTCCGCGGTGTTAAATTACCGCCCTTATTTGGACAAGTACGAAAGATCCTCCGCGGATGCGAGACCGAAGGGATTTAACGCCAGGATCCCGTTACCGGGACAAAGGATTAAAGCTCGATGCACGGACGATCACCAACTAACTTTCGCCTTATCCTCCCATTTCCCGTTTCCCGCCGCAAGCTCGCAAGCTCGCAAGCTCGCCGGCCCTCGCCGTAGTATAACGCGGCGGAGTGAGCGCAGGGGCGAGAAACCTGTCAAGTGCAATAACTCGAAATGCGAGAGAAATTCTTTCGCTCTATACAGACCGCTCCTTCCCCCGAGTGCGAGTGGCTGCACGAAACGCCCTTCCTCTTATTCTTTTTACGTCTTTTTTGACGTAACGCGTAGGAGAAGCCCATTACGCCGCACCACCGGTACCATTGCGAGCGAGTTGATACCGAGCTTATGGTTCAAATAAGGAATAATACTCATCCCGAGATTTCCCGAGTACCAGCGCTGTAGCTACATATCTCGAGTAGCTGCACGTCGCAAAGACTGTGGCATACATTAATTACGTTCGTTAACATAATGCTGTTTCTTTTACTCGCGATTTAGCTCTGAAATTACCTTATATTGCATGTTGTCACTGAAATAGTACCGTCATGCTGATATTGTACTCATAATTTCGAGATCCCTAGTACGTCACATACGTGATGAAAATTAGAAAGAAAAGTTTAAAAAAGGTGTAGCACTGTGCACAGACATAGACTATCCTCGATTATTTGTTAAGCTTTCTAAAATAGCATACTTTTAAAGTATACCATTTTAATATTACATTTACGTTTTTTCGAATACTATATATATATATATATATATATATATATATATACACACAAAGAAATATCCAAGTCAATAAGTACATATAATATGAACGTGAAATATGAGAGTTATATCAGAGAGCTGTTATTTTATTTTAATTCAATCAGAGAAGAAATGAAGTAGATTTGATTTATAAATAAAATATATCTCGAATTCTCTCCCTGGCAAATGTCATTGGGCGGTCTTGCAGGACAATCGCGGGACGACGGACTCTCCTTACACTCTCCGGCCCAACAATGGACGTCGTTCGGGCCACTCGGAATTTCGGATTTATGGCGAGGAGCATATTCCATACGGCGGCGTCCAAGAAGCGTACGTACGCCCGCAATTCCCCCATAAATTCGAAAATCTCGAGAGTCGCGCCGGATACTCCCCAAGGGATCGCCGGTCGATCCTATTACCGGGCCACAGGATTAAGCCCGATGTACGGAAGATCGCCCCGGACGATCGCCAACTAACTTCCGCGTTATCCTCTCGTCCGCCGACCGTTTTTCCCGCAGCTGAGAGACCCGAGATCGTGGTGGTGCGGTGCAGCGCGGCACGGCGCGATGCGGTCGAAAGTGAGACGACGACGACGCGATACGCCGGACGCCACGAGTCCGAGAGGGACGGACGGCAGCTTCCGTCCGCGCTCCTCCGAGCGGAGCGTATTTCGCCAATTTCGTTAGCGCCCGCACGGACGCGCGAGCGCGCGCTCCCGCCATCCTCTTTCGCGTACATTGCACTTACACACGCACACACACATGTATATACGCGTATACGACAAACGCATACTCTCGCCGAGCGTGGAAGTGAGAAATGCGCGCGTACATACGAGTAACGCATCGAGAGAGAGAGAGAGAGGGAGAGAAGGGGGTGGGGGTGAGGCGGTCCTCGCGCTAGAAAGAGAGAGATGGAAGATTTTGCAGCGATCATCGACTTGGAGAACAGCGCAGTCGCCCAGGAAGCAACTCGAACTCACTCACCCTGCCCTCTCTCCCTCCGTCCTTCTCCTCTTCCTGCTCTCCCAAACCCCCCCTCGACCTCTACCTGATCGTTCCATCCTTCTCACGCTCTTTCTACCCCGCGCTGCCAGCCAGGTGGTCTTCCGCCCTCCTCGAGCGCCGCCGCCACCATCGGCACAACCACCACCACCGCCAGAACCACTGCCATCACCTCTACCACCACCAGCACCACACTCAGCAGCGGTACCAGCAGCAACAGCAGCAGCAGCAGCAGCAGCAGCAGCAGTAGCAGTAGCAGTAGCAGTAGCACTAGCAGCAGCAGCAGCAACAGCACTGCCGTTCGCTACCACCTCTTCGACTTTGTCGCGTCTCTCTCTCTCTCTCTCTTTCTCTCCCTCTCCTCCTCTGTCTCTCTCCTCTCCCTTTCCCTCATACATCGGTGTGCGCACCCCCGTCCCTCTTGGCTCGCCGCACCAACCCTCTCTCACGCGCGCCTCGGTGCCTCGTCCTCCTCCGGTGCCGATGCCGCAGTACCGACTGCTTTCCGCGGAAGGTGGAAACCCGTGTAACGCAGCCGTATATAGATTTTCAATTAGT